TAATACTAGTCATCCTTACCGGTACTGTACCCTGGAAATTTGAAATGATAATTTCCATCTAAATAAAAGTTGAACCGAAAAACAAGCACATAATGAGATAAAACAATATATTTGCGACTCAGTTCTTGATCGAGTGTCGCTTGTGTGGAAGAAAATGGCCAAAAAGTAACTACTTTTCATTGGGATCTTTTTACTAGAATTGATTTGATTATCGAGAGGGTGAATCTAGTCTGTATCTGAGGCGTCCGAAGGTAAGTATACAAAGAGAACTGTTTTATTGAAGAATTAGAAATTTTTACCGAATTAAACAATACAAAATCGACAAGAGTGAGTTAAATTAAATAAGGTTTTACTGGTATAATTATGTATATAACTTATTTAGATAAGCAAATATGAAAACTGTTATTACCACCCCGAGGTTGAATTGAACTATTTACTATCCTTTATAGTTCATTGTTTAAGGTTCGCGGTGTTAGAGGGTTAATTAACGATTTTTACATTAAAAAAAAGGTCGGTCTACTAGAATAGATTTACATTGTTCAATGTTCCAAACTCACATTGGTTTCTCAAACAGCATCTCTGTATAGTATGTGTATTCACTCTCTGTCCTACATGCCTTGTTGGCGCCCCCCCCCCCCTCCCTGTGAGCCCACTGTGCTCTGATTGGTCAGCTCGCCCACTCTGTTCTGATGAGTCCACCACCGTTACAGCGGAACATCAGTGAGTATGTGTTACAATGGCGTTTGTTAGCAACCACAAAATGACACCAGTAATGACAAACAGGTGAGAATGCTGCGCGGGGTCTGGGTGCCGTGTTGGAGGGACGTTGCGGGGCTCGCTGCTGTGAGGAGCGGACAGTGTGAGCTGGGTTGCTGGTGTCGTTTCCTGGTTGCTGCGTGGGGTCTGCGGGACACGGCGAGGCCCGGCCCGAGCTCGGCCGGAGCACATACACCCGCAGCCTGGCTGTGGGTCTGTGTGTGTGCTCGGATCGGGATACACACACACATGGAAAAAGAAAATCCCCAACGAGGCGTTCTGGGGCAGCATAGACACGTATTTTCTGTGTTAGAGTTTTACTCGCTACAGGGTGTACTTTGAGGGTTTGTGACTCTGCAGACCGTTTACATGCAGAAAAAGCTACGTAACACACAAGGGGACGGGTGATAACCAGAAAAGCATGACATGGGACCTTTAATGCTTTGTTGAACCCGTTTACAAGGAGGGAAACAGAGTAAATAAGGACCCCTCTAAAACACTAACTGTAAATAAAGTCCAATACATCTCTATTTGTGCATGGAGCCTGAGTTAGCTAGCCAAATCTTTTAAGTGTTATCTTGCCAGCTAAAACTGTGCATTCCCCTATATTTGACTTTGATATCTTTTACTAAATGTTGTTCTGAATGTACAGAGCAATATTCTGGAGAACATAAAAGCACTGTAACAATACATAGTTCCCTTTACCTGGTATATCCTCATCCAAAGCCCCTGAAGCAGGCATCCTCCTGGAGATCTTCACAGATTTCCCTGAAGCTATGTTGTACTCTTGCATCTTCTCAAAGTTGATGGTGTGGGGCTGATTGTCTAGCAGGATGTCCACTTTCTGCATCCTCATCCTCAAGGCCGTCTCGATGAACACAGTGGCATCAGGTGAGTAAGGGGTCGTGTCAGAAGAGACCGGGTCGTGATAAACCCACTGGACGCTCCTCAGGATCTCCCGTTCGGACACAGAAGTGGAGATCTTCTCCAGGAGCAGCTTCACATCACACAATCCACCCGCCACATAATCCTTAAAGCCAGAAACGGTGATTATACTGCCCTGGATTTGAATCTCGACCGCATGCTTCCTTTTGATCATATCCAGACATATCCTGTGGTAGTCGGACATGTTCCTCACACACCTGTGCTCCAGTTTCTCCTCGACTTGTCTCCCGGTGACCTTCTTCCCAAAAGCTATATCGACCCGAATGAGGTCAGCGGGATACCCTGCAAACACAAACAACTGGAGGGTGTTGGCTGCTTTGATGGCGTCCAGCAGGGAAGCATCGAAGCTCTTCTTCACCGCGGGACTCTTCTCAGAACAGCTTGGAGAGGATTCATGTTGGCTCATTTCCTTGGATAGCTCCAAAGCTTTTTGCAGCTGTTCCTCCTCATTCTCCAGCGAATAATGGCTTGTCTCCATGGAGTACTGGATAGCTAGGGATAGCTGGGCATCTTCTTCAAAGTCGCTAGACAGACCCACAGCTCCTTCACTCTGCAGGAGTAACCCACTGGGATTGTTCCCTACAGCTGAGGGCTGGGAAGAATCAGCAGCTATCCCAGACAAGTCCTGGTCCGTCAGACTGGTTGGTTCCGCTGCTGAGTACAAGTCAACGTCGTCCATTTCATCGGAATTGTTGGAATTGGAGGCGGGATCTTCAGGTTTGTCATCGACGGCCGAGACGATTTTCTTTGCAGCTTCTAAAAGACCTACAGAGAGGGAGAGGAACATGTTTAAAACTGCACAGAAATATAAATTTATTCCACACATGGCAGTTATTTTAAAACATGTATAATTATACTGGTTATTTTTTTTTATAGCGCATGGTGGAAAGGAGCAGGGAGAAGAAAATCTTATTTTACCTGCCCCTTCTTAAAAAAATAAATAAAAGCAATATTCTTTCTGTAACAGTTGCTAAATACTGAAACATAAAAACAGAACACAATCAAAAGCCAACTTCATACTGTCTAATTAGGCTTTCTTTATTATTTTTCTTAAAGGTCCCATGTCATGGCCATTTCTACTGATCATAATTCCATTGTTGAGGTCTACTAGAATAGATTTATATTGTTCAATTTTCCAAACTCACACTGGTTTCTCATACAGCATCTCTGTATAGTATGTGTATTCACTCTCTGTCCTAAACGGCTTGTTGGAGCTCCTGCCCCCCCCCTCCCTGTGAGCCCAGTGGCCGTCTGCAAGACACAGCGAAACCCAGCCCGAACACACACATACACCCGCAGCCTGGCTGGGAGTTTGTGTGTGTGCCCAGGCTGAGTTCCCGGTGTCTCGCCGACCCCACACCAGTGAGCCAGCTCACAGTGTCCGCTCCTCGCAGCAGCGAGCCTCGCAACGTCCCGCTGAGTGTGTGTGTGAGGAAGTCCGTGGATTGGTCCAAAAGTAACGGCTCCGCGGACGTAACGAAACGGTACGTCACTATACTCGAAATACATCACTATACCCAAGAAGTAAACAATGGAAAAAGAGAAATGCCCAACGAGGCGTTCTGGGGCAGCATAAGGCGCTTTCACACCGCAGTACTTTTCCCACAAAGGTTCATCAGAACTTAGTTCATGAGAACTCTTTAGTACAGATCGCGTTCACACCGGAATAAGTCCCTGGGGGAGGATTAGGCAAATGAAGCCTCTGACGAGCGGAGTTGGGGACTGGCTTCAGTAGAAGCTGCTGGGACCCCCAGCAGCTTCTACTGAAGCCTTCCGAGTAAATCGCCTGAACACCGACACCTCCTCATCTCCACCGCTCCCATGTTTTCTTTTGTGTTGCCATAAGTTAGTCTCTCTGCATTTGTGCGCTGGGCTAATGCTAATAATGCTAATCAGAAATAGGAACCTTTTTCTCCATGAAAGTCCCTGCTCTCTAGCAGGTGGTAAAGGTAAAGGGGTAAAAAAGGTTCTCATGAACTCATTTTAGTTCTGGATTTTTTTGGTGTGAACGCGACATTGCGGAACTATATCGGAACTAAAGTGGGAAAAGTACTGCGGTGTGAACGCCTATAGACAGGTCTTTTTCTGTGTTTAGAGTTTTACTCGCTACAGGGTGTACTTTGAGGGTTTGTAACTCTGCAAACCGTTTACATGCAGAAAAGCTACATGACACACAAGGGGAAAGGTAATAACCAGAAAAGCATGACATGGGACCTTTAAACATACAACATTTCTTACAGCCCTTTAATTCATTTGGCAAAGAATTATTTTCTCTAAAACTTCTTTAGAGACACACATCTGCTTTAAATATGGAGAAATGATTGTAGAGATGGATATTACCGTTACCTGGAGCTCCATTTTGATCCACATGCATTGAATCAGTTCGTAATTCTTGAGGAGAACTATCTGAAGACACTTTGGGGAAGTTTCTGCCGGACATCATGTTCCATGCCGTGTCAAAGATGTCCTGAAATAGAAAAAACATGTGGGACACTGTCGATCTATTGTAGACCTGAGAAGGAGCTGAAAAAGCACTAAAATAATCAATCCCAGAATCCGGATTTTCCAGTATTTTAAATCGGTCGCACGATTGATCGAGCCGAAACAAGTTTCTCTAAAAATATTGCTGTGTTATTTGTGTGCTAACATCGAGCTGAGGTTGACAATAAAGAGGCAGTGAGAAGAGAAACTAAAAGAAGTCTAAAATCATTCAGCAGGTGATACTTTTTCAGAAACTCAGTCTCACTCACTTCTGCCTTTTGCATACCTTAAACTTAGCCTCAGGTTGTTCATGCTTCAAAGGTTTTTGCTCATTATGATCATATAATATAATAATATAATATAATATATAATCAGGGGTTCATACACTTTTTCACCAATGATTTTCAATGACATTTATCTAATTTTCCATGACCAAAAACTCTTTCTCAGCGGTACCACTGAAAATGGTTCATTTTAACATGGAACAGGAAAATAAGGTCTGCATATGAAACATGTTGTGCCTATCGAAAACAAATCAAATAGTAGGCTTACTAGCTTCTACACGCTAAAGCAACTGTAGACTAGAGGGCGTGATTATAAAAATCTCTCACCAGCAAAATACCTCAACAGTTAAATGCTATTTTACGTTTCATTATACGATACAGTATTTATTATCATTATAGTATAACTATTTCGGCGATTAGATAAAATATAAATTATATTTGAGGCAACTTTAATTTTACATTTCCATGACTTTTCCAAAACTTTGGGAAACATATTGTTTTCCATAACTTTTCCAGGGCCTGTAATTTGCATTTTGAATTTCCATGACTTAGCACCTTTCATGCACAAAGCAGCCCAAAGTGCTTCACAGAAAACATAACAATATTCAAAATAAATACAGAACAAGATCCTAATGAAATTCCGGTGAATTAAAGCTGACAAGAAATATGTTAAAATTAGGGCTGTCAAGTTAACGCCACAAATTATTTTAACGTACGATTAACGCATGTGTATTTTTCCTCGGCCCGCCCCGTAGTTTCAGAGCCCAAAGCAAAGGCTTGACGTTGTTGTTGTTGTTAGTTGGATGGTGGGAGATTCTAGCGAGAGATATGGATACAAAAAAAGGTGTTTAAAGCAGCAAGCCAGGCCCTAGAATCTCCCACCATCCAACTAACAACAACAACAACGTCAAGCCTTTGCNAAGTATTCTTGTCTCGCTTCTGAAGCAAGTGACTCGGAAGACATGTGCTACCAAGCAAGCGTACTCGACATTGAGAAACACCCTCTGTTCTGACTCAAATGCTAAATCAGGGTGGCAGTCAACAAAATTGACATTATATTTCAGGTAAGAATGAGGGCGGTGCAAGCTGAAAGGGAACTTGAAGGCTGAGATCGTAACAGGCAGGAGATGAAAATACTCGGCAGGGCTTTGTTATCGTCAACTCTTCAGGTGTTTTTATGCAAATGTTATTCAAAAGTCAACTGTATCTCTGAGGGAAACACCCACTGGGTTCATGTCAGGTCTCATAAAGAAAGTGGGCCAGGATTTTTTTAAGAAAAAATTATTTAAAACTCTTACATGTGCACAGAAACATACACATTTTAAAAACCTACAACGCAGACAAAGAAATAAAAGCTGAAAGAAAGAATGATTTAGAATAGTGACAACAACAAGATGAGCGGCTATAAGATCTAGGTATCTGCTTGGTTAATAAACTAACAACAATAGATTTTGTTTTACCACTTGAGGGCAATGAGCTTTTAGATCCTTTTACAGATAATATGGTGAACGTGTTGCCTACTGAAACATTTAGCAGAGATAGAGCTGAAACAGCATTATTTGAAGTCTGGACCCCTGGAAAATATTCACTCTCTGTAGTGTCCCGTCAATTATGTGAAGTTGTGTCATGTTTGTGATTGTCATGTTCATGTTAGTTTAGTTTATGTTCCACTTCCTGTTTTATTTTGTGCTCACCTTGTCTCATTCCAGGTCCCTTTACTTCCTGCTTTGGTTCTTTTTCCCGCCATCGTCAGTGTCTGCCCCGCCCCTGATTGTTTCCACCTGTGCCCACTTACCTCATGTATATATTGTCCTGTCTCCCCTTGTTAGTTGTCGGTTCGTCTTGTTCGTTGTCCCAAGAAGCCAGATCCAAGCCATGGCTTAAGAGATTCAGTGTCTTGCTTTTTTCCCTCCATGTGAGCGCTTTACTTTTGTCATTTTGTTATTTCCTCTAAAAGAGTGATTTTGTTTTTGCAAGTAAAGATTATTTTTCTTCAAACCTTTTTTGTCTCTGGGTTGTGCATTTGAGTCCTCTAAACTATTGAGTCAAGGTTTCTAACACTCTTCTTTGAGCTTTGTTTTGGTCTCTACAAATTCCTGAGGACAAGATCTGGCGCTTTACCAGCATTTGATTTACTTATTCGGCTATTCACTCTTTTTGTCTTCTGTTTTGCTGGTTGGCAGGAAGCGCACATTGGGCTTTTGAGCCACTGCAAAACAGTTACCTATGCTGTCAAACACTGCTATGAGAGTGGTTAGAGTACATTTGTNAGTCCTCTCCTGCTGATGTTCAGGTGTATATCAGTATGTAGTGTCTCTACTTTAAAGAGTCCTCTCCTGCTGATGTTCAGGTGTATATCAGTATGTAGTGTCTCTACTTTAAAGAGTCCTCTCCTGCTGATGTTCAGGTGTATATCAGTATGTAGTGTCTCTACTTTAAAGAGTCCTCTCCTGTTGATGTTCAGGTGTATATCAGTATGTAGTGTCTCTACTTTAAAGAGTCCTCTCCTGTTGATGTTCAGGTGTATATCAGTATGTAGTGTCTCTACTTTAAAGAGTCCTCTCCTGTTGATGTTCAGGTGTATATCAGTATGTAGTGTCTCTACTTTAAAGAGTCCTGTCCTGCTGATGTTTAGGTGTATATCAGTATGTAGTGTCTCTACTGGGACATGTCTCCATGCTTTAATGTTCAAAAAGCTCTTTATTTTTCTCATACTGTCTGTGCTGCAGCACCTCTTTTCACCCTCTGTCTGAAACCAGAGCCCAGTCTGCTCTGATTGGTTAGCTGGCCGGCTCTGTTGTGATTGGTCAACCACTTAGACACGTCCCGCCCTTTAGCCTATCACATACAATGTGTTGGAGCACTAGCCAATAGAAGCGCAAGTATTACTTAGTGATGTTACTACGTTCCAGAAGTAAACAAAGGAGTCCAATGTAATTCAATGTTTTTCCTAGGTTTCTTCTCGAGGTTCTGCATCTTCTTAGGGGATGAATTCCTTGAAACAAACTGCTTAGTAGGTGACAGTAGAGTCAAAGTGTTTTGATTTGTTGGTCTGTATCAGGGTTGGGCAACATATCAATATGTCAACATTGTTTTCTTTGTGTGTGCCTCACTGTTCAACACAGTGAAACTAATCAAACCTGCCTTTGTTGAACCTTTCCACTGTTTCAACACGGATGCACCACACTGTGAGAATAAACCCATCATTCTTGGCTCTACAGCTGTTAGACTGTCTCACTCTGAGCAGCTGTAGAGCGGCGGACATTGAGAAAACATTTGTCATCACTACTCAAACACATGTATTGTCATCACAAGGACAGCTACAAAACAAACATGCCCAAATGTTATAAGCTTAACCCTTAGTGGATTCAATACAAAGACTCAAGCTAATTCGAAATTGACGACACTCAATCCTGGATTGATATTTATTTAAATCCATGAAACCCAAATGGAAATTCTCATAAATAAGTGAAAAAAAAGTAGGCGTGACACCTTGTTATAAAAAAGGTATGAGCAAATTCTGAAGGCAATACAATAATAGACAATAGAAAAAATAAAGAATAAAAAAACACACAACAATGAAAGATAATTTAAATAAAAATGAAAAAAACATGTTATTATCAATTATATTTGTTTTTTTAATTATGTGTAAATATTTCTTAGGTTTTTGGTAAATACTTTTTGGTATGCACTGTAAAGAAATATAATACGAATAGATATTTAAAATAAGGAGCACCTTTTGAAACTAAAAACATCGCTTTGTTAATGACAGATAAAGGATTATCAGCCACAAAGCGATTTAACCAGCGTGTCACTTCAGCCCACATACAGTCAAGCCCCCAGGAAGTGCGCCGGACTCTGATGAAAATATTCGCTGTGTCCAAACGGCGGTACTGCAATTTCCGTATCAGTCCGTGACGTCACTGGGCCCAGAAAGACTTTTCCCCATTGACTAACATGGGGAAAGAGACGTCTGTAAATCAGCGGATTTAAAAAAAACAACTAAATAAACTACCCAGTATGAACTGTTTTATAGCCCTTATTAGAATCATTAGGTCCTTAAAGTTGTAAAATGCACTAAAAGCGAATCTAGATTTATTTTCTGTCTCCATTCATTCTACTGAGCCGAGAGTGGGAGCTCGGGGGGCGGGGCTTAAGGGGCGCATGCTCTGTGAGCGCACATACGGGGTGTTTCTCAATGTCGAGGACGGTTGCTTGGTAGCACATGTCTTCCGAGTCACTTGCTTCAGAAGCGAGACAAGAATCCTTCCTGGCATTCGGAAAACGAAGAGTGGAACAGGCGAGCAAGTGTGCAGGTGTGCATCATATGAGAGGCCCCGCCTTAAATTTTCAGTCACTGGCCGTTTTTCAATCGCGAGGAAACTGGCTTCCAAGCCAAT